TTCATATTTCTAAAGCTGATTCTACAGATTTATGGCACAAACGACTAGGACAACTGAACTATGGAGACATGGTAAGATTTACCAAGCTCAATGCGTTCAGAGAAGTTCCTGAGCTTACTGAAAAATCTGAAGGTATTTGTGGTACATGTCAAAAAGGTAAACAAACTAGAACTACACATAAACAAGGTTAGTATCTCACTACCTCTCACAATCTTGAACTACTAGGTATGGACTTGATGAGACCTATACTGACTGAGAGCTTCATTGGTTAAAGGTACATTTTTGTGTATGTAGATATTTTCTAGGTAGATTTCTTAAACGAAAAATCTGATATCTTTGAGATATTTACATTTTTATATAAAAAATTGACCACTAAAAAATATATTCAAGGGATTAAAATTGTAAGAATTAGAAATGATCATGAAAAGGAATTAAAAAATGTAGTTTTTCTAAATTCAGTGAACAGTGTGGTATTTTCCATGAGTTCTCAGCACCTAAAACTCCTGAGCAAAATGATGTGTTGGAAAGGAAAAATATGTCCTTACAAGAGATAGCTAGGGTAATGTTGAACAGTATGTAATTGCCTATTAAATTATGGGCTGAAGCTATTTATACTACTTGCTGTATCCTAACCATGTGTCTTCGAAAAAAAGTACGAAACAAACCCCTTATGAAATCTGGAAAAAAGAAAGAAAAGGACAACGTATTGAATGACATGGAACACTTCGGCAGATTTGATCCTAAAAGTGATGAGGGATTATTTATTTGCTATTATGGAAATAGTCGAGCTTATACGATCTACAAGATGTGGACTCAAATCATTATTAAGTTCATCGATATTAAAATTGATTATACTAATGGCTTCTCTTGTTCACAGGAACCTGAAATTTAGAATTTGGAATAACAGATTGAAGAAAATCAGATGATTTAGGAAAACTATGTTGCAGATTCAGGCAGTGACAAACTGACAGAACTACAAATAGCCGATTATGCTGATTTTGAATCGATTATTGGCGGTATTGCACCCGAGAAAGATGATGAACTGCAGAATAGAAGGCAGCCTCCTACCTGGATACAATAGGCTCATCCACTTGATAACATACTTTAGACCTTGGAGAGTGTGTGGTGACCAGAAGGAGACTAGCTATTCAACTTAGAAATGTGTGCTACACCTCATATGTAGAGCCTAAAAATATGATTAAAGCAGTTGGAGATAAGTTTTAGGTACTTGCAGTGCAAGAAAAACTGACTCGATTTAGGCGAAATGATGTGTGGGAGTTAGTTCATCAACCAAGATATACAAATGTGATTGGAATAAAGTGGATCTATAAAAATGAATCAGAAGAGCATGGCAATATAGTGAGAAACAAGGAACGAATGGTAGCACAGCGATACACTTTAGTAGAAGAAGTGGACTTCGATAAAACATTTGCACATGTGGCCGACTTGAATTCATTAGATTAGATTATCCATGACAAGTCAGATAGACTCAAACTCTATTAGATAGATGTCAAGAGTGCCATTTTGAAGGGAATCCTGAATGAAGAATCTTATGTTGAGCAACCAAAATGATTCCTTTATCCATATCTTCCTGACAATGTATTCAAACTCAAAAAGACGTTATGTGGACTGAAAAAAGCTCCTCACACCTAGTATGAAAGATTGACAATGGTTTTACTCGAGAATGGATACAAGAAAGAGAGAGCTAACAAGACTTTGTTCGTCAAACATCTCAAATCTGGATTGACAGTAGTACAAATCTATGTAGATGATAGTGTTTGGATCTACATCTGATATAAAATCCAGGGTGTTTGTTACAATTATGTGAATTTGAAATGAGTATGATTGGTGAAAACTATTTTTAGGGTTTGCAGATTAAATAGGTAGACTCGAGGATTTTCATCTCACAACTAAGTATGCAAGAAATCTAGTAAAATCTGGTAAAGAAATTGTTGGAGGAAATATAGGTTTGCTAACTTGGATTAGCTAAGGCTTTTAAAAGGGCAACACTAATAGGAAGAAGGAAGTGAAAAAAGGCAATACTAATAGGAAGAAGGAAGTGAAAAAATGAGACTTGTATTTCTCAATTTCAAGAATTTACACACTTTTTGCCTTGTTACAAAATGGAGGGCACTACCCCTTTATATAGTGTTTACATAAAGCTTCTAGTCCACATATTTTCTAGAGACACCTAGACCACACATTTGTACAAGATATTTTTCTAGAATTCTCTAGATATTCTTTATAAGACCACATATCTTACTTAGATATTTATATAGATTTTTCTAGATAATATTTCTAAAAATACTAGACATGTTGGGCCTTTTGATTGATTTGGGCATATAAGCAAAATCTTTAAGCCCATATTAATTAGTTCAAAAATCAAGTTTACTACTCAACATCCCCCCTTAAACTTTATTTTGCTACTCCAAGTAGAGTTCTTAACTTGCGGAACACATCATGCTTGAGTGGCTTAGTGAGAATGTCGACGATCTGCTCTTGGGAGGTTACATATTTCAGTTGCACTTCTTTCTTTACAATGCTTTCTCTTATGAAGTGATATCTTGTATCAAAGTGCTTGCTTCTATCATGGAATACTGGGTTCTTTGCCAATGCCAATGCCGATTTGTTATCAATATGGATTTTGATTGGCTCTTCTTATGATGCTCCAAGTGTCTTCAACAAGTTTCTAAACCAAATCGCATGGCAGACACTTGATGTAGCTACAACATATTCAGTTTCACATGTAGATTGTGCTACGATCGATTACTTCTTTGAGCTCCAAGTGAAAGTTGTGTCGCCCAAGTAAAACACATACACAGTCGTACTCTTTCTTTCATTACTGTCTCCGCCCCAATCACTGTCACTATATCGAATAAGTTTGAATTCATTAGATGATGAATAGACTAAGCCATAATCAAGCGTACATTTAATGTAGCGAAGAATTCTCTTTGCAGCTTTCATATGGGTCATGGTAGGTGTCTCCATATAGCAACTGATTAGCTCAATTCCAAAAAGGATATCTGGTCTTGTGCATGTCAAGTATCTTAGACTTCCAACAAGACTCTTAAAAAGTGTTGGGTTTATTTTTTCACCTTAATCATTCTTCGACAACTTGGTTCCGCATTCAATGATGGTGCATACAGGCTTGCAATCCTTCATGTTGAATTTCTTTAGAATTTTTTTCGCATATCCTTCTTGTGAGATGAAGATATAATCATCCATTTGCTTTACCTCAATTCCAAGATAGTAGGTCATAAGGTCGATATCCGTCATATCGAATTCTTGAGCCATAGCCTTCTTAAACTTAGTGATCATACTTTGATTATTTCCTGTGAATATAAGATCATCTATATATATACAAACAAGCAAAATATCTCCTTTTTCATTTACCGTTGTGTAAAGGGCATACTCGTGAGGGCATTTTGTGAAATCATTTTCTAGAAAATACTTGTCAATTCTACTATTTCATACCCTTGGAGCCTGTTTTAACCCATATAAAGTCTTTTTCAGTTTTAAGACTTTACCTTCATATCCTTTTATTTTATAGCCCATTGGTTGCTCCACATAAATTTCTTCTTCGAGATAACCATTTAGAAAAGTCGATTTCACGTCCATTTGAAATATCTTCCACTTATTTTGCGCTGCAAGAGTGATAATTAATCTTATGGTTTCTAAACGAGCAACAGGAGCAAATACCTCTTCATAATCGATTCCCGACTATTGGTTGTAGCATTTGGCAACCAATCTTGCTTGTATCTTTCTACTTCTCCTTTAGCGTTCCTTTTTGCCTTGTACACCCACTTAACTCCGATTGCTCTCTTTCCTTTGGGAAGAGTTATCAGCTCCCACGTGTCATTTTTCTCAATAGCCTTAATCTCTTCATCCATCGAAACTCTTGTAAGCTCCTCATCCGTGATGTCCTTTCACTTAAGCTTTCCCCTTGTGAAGATGATAGGGAAGCATTTCCATGAGTAGGTGATAAAGGTGGACTGGTAAGCTCTTGCTGCTCTCCATTCTCTTGTTCTTCTTCCTCAAAGAATGGTAAAAAGTCATAGTCTTCTTCTTGGACACCCCAATCCCATGCTCATTTTTCATCAAACTCGACATCTCTACTTATGATAATCTTCTCCTCGTTTGGATTATATAACTTGTAGCCTTTAGAGCGAGAGTCATAATCGATAAAGACATACCTTTCACTTTTGTCATCTAACTTGGACTGCTTTTGATCTGGTACATGAGCATATGCAATGCTCCCAAATACTCGTAAGTGAGAGATGCTAGGCTTTCGACCACTCCATGCTTCTTGTGGTGTCATATTCCACACACTTCTAGAAGACAATCGATTAGACAGATACATGGCGCAATTAACAGCTTCAGCCCAAAGTTCTTTGGGTAATAGCTTATTTTTGAACATGCAGCGGGCCATGTTAAGAATGGATCTGTTCTTTCTTTCGGCTATTCCATTTTGTTGTGGAGAGTATGGAACCGTCAATGGGTGACGAATTTCATTCTCCTCACAATATTTCTCAAACTTTTTAGAGGTGAACTCTCCTCCTCTATCCAATCTCAAGGCTTTTATACTATATCTGCTTTCTTTTTCAACAAGGGCTTTAAACTTCTTAAAAGTTTCAAAAACTGCCAATTTTTTTTTGAGAAAATAGATCCAAGTCTTTCTACTAAAATCATCAATAAAAAGAACAAAGTGATTGCTCTTACCGAGAGAGCTTGGATTTATTGGCCCACAAACATCCGAGTATACAAGTTTTAGCAGCTTTTTAACTCTTGTAGATGCTTCTTTTTGGAAAACTTTTCCTCGAATGCTTTCCAAGTAAGCATCCTTCACATAATTGATCTGCATGATTTATTGGAGGCAAATATTTCACCATCTTCTTCTTACTCAACAACTTTAAACGTCCAAAATTAAGATGTCCAAATCTCAAGTGCCAAAACTAAGATGAATCTTTAAAACAAACTTTGAAGCATTTAGTGACATCATTTTAAATGCTTAACGCAAACATTCTCTTTCTTGTCATAGGGACTTTGGCAATCAAATTTTTTCTTTGATCTCTTATTGAAAGACTATGATCTTTCAAATGATTATCATAGCCCTTCTCTAAGAGTTGTCACAAATTTAAAATGTTATTTTTCATATTGAGCACATAATAGACATTTGAGATAAACTGATGCGTACCATTTTTCAAGCGGATCAAGATTTTACCTTTTCCTTTCACTGAAATCTTAGATTCATCTCCAAAGTTAATGCTTCCACTTACTGATTCATCAAGCTTCAAAAACATGTTTTTTCTTCCACACATAGGGTTGCTTGCTTCTGTATCCAAATACCAAGTTTTCTTTTCTCTTCTTTCTTCACCTTTGTAAGCCAACAGTAGTGCAGAATCTAGTTCACTTTCCCGACAAGCGTAGTTGACTTTCTCCTCAACTTGGTTAGTAATATTTCTATATTCTGAAGTATAATGACCAAGTTTTTTATAATTGTAACATTTAATTTGAAATTTGTCATACATTGGTCCTTCATTTTGCCTCGTATCTTTTCCTCTTTCACGACCTATGGTGGAAAATGAACTTTGTCTTCTTTCCTCCTTGTAGAATACACTTCTTCCTCGATCTTGGCCACGTCCTCTTCCTTTTTGGCTTCTTCTACTATTGAACCTTCCTTCACCCTCGTTCAAAGTGAGCTTTGTTTGAAGAGCTTGCTCTAATGGCTCTTCTTTCACCTTCTTCCTTAGTCTTTCCTCATGGACTTGTAAAGATTCCATGAGTTGATCGACACTCATACTATCTAGATCTTTAGATTCCTCAATTGCTACAACTATGTAGTCAAATTTAGAATTTAAAGACCTAAGTATCTTCTCAATTACTCGAGTGTCGTTCAACTTTTCTCCATTCCTTTTTAATTGATTCACAATAGCCAATACTCTAGAGAAGTAATCAAAAATTGATTTCGATTCTTTTATATGTAAAGTTTCAAACTCACCTCGAAGTGTTTGAAGTCGAACCTTTTTCACCTTCTCAACTCCTTTGTGGGAGTTTTGTAAGATCTCCCATGCTTCCTTACTTGTAGTAGCACAAGCTACTTTCTCTAACATGCCTTCATCTAGGACTTGATAGATGAGGGTGAGCGCCTTCTGTCCTTCTTCCTTGCATCCTTCAAACTATCCCTTTGTGCTTAGGATAGAGCAACCTCGTCTTGTGGCTTCGTGTAGCCTTTCTCTATAATCTCCCATGCATCTTGCGACCCAAGTAATGCTTTCATCCTTATACTCCAATTGTCGTAGTTATCCTTGTTGAGCTAAGGGACTTGAAAAGGAATCATTCAACTTGCCATTTTTCACAAGAATCTTAGGGCTCTGATGCCAGTTTGTTGGAGGAAAGATGGGTTTACTAACTTGGATTGGCTAAGGCTTTTAAGAAGACAACACTAATAGGAAGAAGGAAGTGAAAAAATGAAACTTGTATTTCTCAACTTCAAAAATTTACACATTTTTTGGCTTATTACAAAATGGAGGGCACTATCCCTTTGTATAGTATTTACATGAAGCTTCTAGTCCACACATTTTCTAGAAACACCTAGACCACACATTTGTACAAGATATTTTCCTAGAATTCTCTAGATATTCTTTATAAGACCACATATCTTACTTAGATATTTATATAGATTTTTTCAGTAGATATTTATATAGTTTTTCTAGATAATGTTTCTAGAAATACTAGGCATGTTGGGCCTTTTAATTGATTTGGGCCTATAAACAAAATCTATAAACCCATATTATTTAGTCCAAAAATCAAGTTTACTACTTAACATAAATTTGGTCTGGAAAACACCAAAACAGACAAGACTCACATGGCCACGTCCCTTAAGATCAACAAGAAGACCAGAGCAAGGATGTCAATCTCAGCATGTAAAGGAGCATGACAAAGAGTCTGATGTATCTTATTGCAATCCATCCTGACATAGCTTTTAGTGTTGAAGATATACTACTGCTAATTGGGTAGGAACATGAATGATAGGAAAAGCACGCCTGGAGGATATTTCTGTATGGGTAACAATCTTATTGCTTGGTCAAGTAAAAAACAAAACTCCATATCTTTATCTACTCTAAAAGCTAAGTATATTACTATCAGTAGTTGTTGTACTCAGTTAACCTGGATGAAGCAAATACTTAGTGATTATGTTATTGGTTAAGATTATATTACCATATTCTATGATAGCACTGGTGCTATAAATATCTCTAAGAGTCATGTTCAACACTTGAAGAGTAAGCACATTGATATTAGACGTTACTTTATCAGGAACTTAGATGAATGTAATTGTCCTAGAACACATACATACAGAAGGACAACTACCTGATTTACTCGCCAAAACTCTAGATACTGCTAGATTTAAAACTTTTGAAAAGTCCTTAGCATATGCTTGATGCATTAAACTATTTTTATGTACATAATTACCTTATGTTCTGTTTTGTATGTTCACTTTCCTTGAATATATTTTGCATTTATAAAAGAAAAACATTAAAATTGAAAAATTAGGGGAAAAAAAATTCTTTTCTTGTAAACGTCACATGATGTGATTTTTAATTGGCTCAAAATTTTCGAGATGACATTGAATTATCCAATCAGTATGGTAAGCTCATTATACCTTATGATAAATTGTTGTCAAATAGGTACACCTTTAGATCATTGTGATTAGTCTATTTGTGCCCCTCTACTGACTAAGTTGTCATCTTAAAGGTGACATGTGCTTAGGTGTGAATTCATGGTCAGTATTTATATCTCTTTTTACTATAATATGTTGTCTTGTTAATAGACATGTTTATTGGAGAAAAGGGCTATCACTATGGGTATGTAAAGCCATCCTTAATAATGAACGTAAGTTATGAGAAAAGGGTTGCACTTATAGTTGTGTGAAAGTCAACTCCATAAATTCAAAAGGCAGTGCTTTAAAAAAATAAAAAGAGTCAACACAATGAACATCAAAAGGAAATTGAAAAATAAACATTCATGGTCATGCTTGGCACACACATATTTTTATATCTAAAGAGAGAATTTCATATGATGGCTAGGTTGAAATACATTTATGTGCTTTATCATTAATTGACTGACTTTATCATTTTGAATCTAACTCTCTGCTCTGACTATTTGTTTCATAATTATTTGATTCACTTTATACAATGTCCTGATAATTTCGAAAATGGAGAAGTAGTAGATTTTGATTTTGTGGTGATGGTGAAGTGGTGTCACAGAAGAAAATATGAGTGTTAAGATGGTTGAGTTAGGGAGAGCATGATGTGTGATGAAATTCAACTGAGAGTTGTGTATTGGTTTATCATAGTCATATCACACGCACACGACATTAGGGCTGGACAAAACTCCCAAATCAAACCTACCAAATTGAACCTGAATGAAACGATTCTTCTTAAGTTAAAAATCCGAACGAATTTCTGAATCGAAAATCGACGGGTTTGGTTCTACTCTCGGTTCTAGACCAAAATCGAAGAACCGAATAAAAACCAATCTTCCTAATTTTATTTTATTTTTAATCTTAAATAAGTCAAACTATTTTATTTTTCTAAATAAATATAATAATTAATTAATTTAGCTCAAACTAAAAGCATAATTTTCATATTTCTAAATTTTAGCCCAAGCTCAAGTCCAACTTAATTAAATTGACCTAAGTTCTATCCAAATCTCTTATTTTACCATAGTGTCGTTTCTATCGTTCTAGAGAAATTGAATTGGAAGCTCGGTTGAGCCTTTCTTTATCATTGTGTGCTCGCTATCTTTCTCTTTTTGTGATTTTAACAGTCAAATTTATAAAAAATTCAACAAAGAGAAGCGCAAAAAGATATCGGGATTGTACTAAGTTATTTTGCAGAAACTAAATTTGAACATGTCATTAGTTAAATTAATATAGCATTTTTGTAAGTATTAAAAAAATTAATTATTGCTTGTAACCCAAGAGCTGAATGGATGTGAACCAAAATGAATCGAACCAAACCGAATTGATCAAGCTGCTTGGCGTGAAGAATGACAATTCTTAATCTAAGTGGTATTTGTGGCCGAATACATTAGGGAAGTGATGATAAAATCAAAACCAGTGGGTTTGATTCCACATCATCAACAAGTCAAAAGATGAAGATATGGGGGATTTGTTCTTAATTTCCTTTTATTGTTTTTTGCTAATTTTATGAAATTATAAAATTGAATATTATTATATTTTTTATCAATTAATTAGTAAGTTATTCTACTAGTAGCATGGGTCTGTAAACGTTTCTTCTCGAAGATTACCACATTATATCTAATGTTTTAGTTTTAATTTTTCAATTAATTTTCGCGCTCAATTAAGACTGCACGAATACATCACATCCTACTCATACCAATTAGAACTGTTGGAAATTGAGTATAAGAAGTTCTAACTGCCTATCATCCAGAATTATAACTGTAAAATTAAAATCCAATTTTAATTTACCTATATATTAGAATTAACAGTTCCCAAGATTCAAAAATAACTTCTAATCAACACTATGTTGGCTCTAATATCACTATTGCAAATATGCTTACACATGTCCAACAAAATTTAAAAATAATTTTCAATTCCCTTCAAAGATCATCTTCATTTTTAGATAGAATTTGTGATTACAATTATACCTTTAGTAAATTCTTCAAAATCCTTTAAGAATCTTGATCGCTAGCAATTAAGTTCTTTGCTTCTCCATATGACTCTTGATCTATCACAATCTTTTCACACCACTATCTTATTGTCCAACCTTCAATGATAATTCACACGAAAGAACAAAAATGAGATATTAGGGTTTCTATTTCTTGTGCTAGTAAGATTATATATTATAATGAGTGTTATGAAAATCTCTATCCTTAGTTGTCTATTTATAGATGTTTAAATGGGCTGACATACCCATTAAACACAAGTAGACATATAGTCCCTCAAACATAACTTTTTTTTTTTTATAACAAATGCAATAATATTTAAATATTTAAATAAATAACATTTTTTTATTAAAACGAAGACTTAATGCAATTCAAAAGATAAAGTAACAAAATAAAACCTCTCTCACAGTTTGAGAGATTTGGCTAGCATAACATTTAACCTTCTCATATTTTGAGATGTAAAATTAGTAATTAGATAGCTAAAATCTAGTTTTTTAAACATATTTTTTTCGAAAAAAAATCCGTAGCTAATTCATTAAATCTCTCTTATGACATGGTTGATCAAAGATAAGAAATTCAACTTTGAAAAACTTCTTTCAACGCAGGCATCTGTGAAAAGAATAGTCAATAATACTCTGTAAAAAACTCAAGCAGTTGCAAAACAACAATTCATTCTTTTAACGTAATCCAATATATTAATTGCTCTATTAGTTTTTGTAGGTATCGCTTCCCTTAAAACTTTCAACTCAAAAAATAATTCTACCTCATCAATATCAAAAACCATATTATGCTTTAAGTAATTTTCAAGGTTAATGCAAAAACACTTCAAACTATCATCATCAATAGATTTAAGCCTTTTCAAATCAAATAAAAATCCAAAAATATCGTCATATTTTTTAAATAGTTCAAATCTGTTTTGACGTGATGATAGAGATTGATCTATTATATAGATAGGAAATAATTGATCTTAAAAAAATAATAATAAATAAATAAATTCAATTGTTTACATCATTTATTCATAAGTCTCATCAAAGGCTTCTTTTTGTGTGGAACCCATTTTTCTCGAAATATCGATTCAATTTCTAATTACTTGCAATCTCTTTAGCATCAACTATGGCCGATCCAAACCCCAAATCTTTATAACTTTCGAAAAAGGAAATGAGCAATTTTAATGGTTTATAGCAACATCAATATGTATGTCTTTTGTTTGTAAATGTTTGCTTACTCTGCTAATATTATTCAACATTTCATATTAAATAATCATCCCAAGTAATAATTTAGAATTCTCAATTTCATATGTTGTCTAATACTCTACCCCATGTTTTGCCTTAGGATCATCTACACTTGCCAATTGAAATAGAGCATTTTTCTATAGAGCTTAAAAGCTTATTGTTCTAACACTTTCAACATGACTTTTCCATTG